ATCAGCGGTACATACATACCCGAGGTGAAAAAGAGTCAACCCCCGAAAAAGGCCATTCTTTCCCAGGAAAACGCAGCCAAGCCCCATCCATCCATCCAAAAAAAACCCCTAGTACACCGTCAAACACTCGCGCGACGTATACCCATGGAAACCCCCCAGAGCGCGCGTACCCTCCTCAACTCGTCCACTTGTCCTCTCCATCTAACACATGTCACCCTTAGAGCGTCTCCAACTAGACCATTACACCTAGGGATATACTAATCCCCACGGAGCCGTGCGCGATATTCTTCCAGTTGCATAAGGGTGACTTCTATTTCACTATTTTAATCTTTTAGTACATACTACCAGAATATGCGTGAAGGAACATGAGGGGGCTACGTACCCCAGATCAGGATTCTCATCAGCGACCAAGTTTTGCAACCGAATTTCTGCTGCAGACGCGAGAGTCGCAAGGCTATCTAGCGTACGCTGGTCTTGCCTTTGTTGCTCTTCCATTCGTTGCTCTTCATAGAAACGGTGGTAGTAGTCGTAAAGCGCTTGACCCTCAGCGGAATGTAGTGATATCATCGGAGCAGCGTTGCGTCTGCCTCCTACTACTAGCCCTGGTGTCCTGGGAGAGCACTGATAGCTGACGTCGTTGGTCGTGACATCTTGCTTCCAATACAGCACGTCGACACGTAGATTCCGCATGTACGACTCCTGGTTTGCAACGTAGAGTCTCATGTATCCGCGCTTGAACGTGGCAAACGTGTCGAAGCCTTGGGAGCGCAGGTAGTAGCATAGACGCAGTGCTTCTTGTGCTGTTGGCTTGAAATTCGTTGGCGAGATCATTTGCGTCCACTCGCATGCTTGCTGTCCATTGAGCATGTCTGCCGGGAGGGATGCTAGGTATTGCAAGGCCTTGAGCTGGACTCGGACGTAGTCGAGTGTCCTCTCGCTACCTTCTGTCTCTTCGGCTTCATTGTATGCAGTCCTGTCTAGCACGGGCACGATCGTGGTAATAGGCTGGATTGGTGTCGGTCGCGTTGCTGTGGAAGGGTTAACAATGGTAGCGTCTTTGTCGTATACTAGATATTCCAAGTTATTCGTGTTGCTGCCAGTCGCATCCATCTTTGGGCCGTTTGTTCTTATATCGTCGCGGAAATGCAGTGGGAAAGTTCGAGTATAAGTAAGATAGCGGTGCGATGTCTGTGGGTGGACCTTTGGAAAAAGAAGTGAGAATGCTGAAATATTTGTCAGTTTCAAGCTGATGCGCGATTGCGGATTCTATTTATCCCATACCAGATATTTGCTAGACCAAGGGAAACGATGGATCTTGTTGGATGGTGGAAGAATACGGATTGCGAATGGTGTTATACCTCGCCGCGCAAAAAGCGAGATAAGAAAATTGAATAAATGCTACGGTGGAGGTTTTAGCGCGATGCTGAGACTGGGTGAAGGTGAACAAGGCAAGAAGGATGGTCCAGCTTTTCTCATCACGCGACTGCCCTTCGTGAGCCGAACCCCCTCCACGTACAGTTATTCACTCTTTCTTCAAGCTAACGTGAGTGTGAAAGTGGTTGCTTGGCCTGACTTGAGTGGTACTTTACCCAATGTAAAGTTGGTGGGTCGCTTTTAGTACCAATCATGATTTGGACTTTGCCAATCACAGAGTTGAACGGAGAACAAAACGCTGTGCAAACCATCAGAGAGTCGATACACGCTTTTAGATAACATGGCTCTGATATCGCGTTTCAACGTGATGGGAGACGGCTGGGTAAGGCGTATACCGGAAGTTACTGTATCAGCCTGGATACTATCTTGATAACGTTTGAGGAGTTTTATGCGGTATTTCTGTTGTTATTCAAATACACAACTCATTGAAAACAGGTTTACCAAGAAATAATCCATTTTCGGTGAGTTGACGAGCATAAATTTTGCTCCATCACTTGTCTAATCCTACAAAGTCGGCAGCATTTGCAAATATCTGCTAGATTTATCCACATTATTCATGCTAAATGTTCTTTGTTCAACGATAATACATCAGCTTAATGTTTTTAGATGGATATCGTCGGTCTAGAAATACTTCAAAAGTTAATGTAGTATCTTCATATCTGCTCATTTGACCAACGATGTGTTACTAGTATGCTTGTTTAGCTAGCGGATTGTAAGTCCTTCGAAATGACACAAGTGTGCTTCTAGAAACATTACTACCACAGACTTGCCCTTGGCAACAGTGATATGCTAAGTTGCTGGTAGAATAATATGTACGCTAGATACCTGTGAAGTGCGGTGACTTCATGATAAGTTAAATTGTAACATTTTCATAAGCCGTCCTTGTACATGCGTCTGGAAGGGAATTAGGATTTTGAATCTAGAAATGCACAAACAACCAGATACATGAAGAACAAAACAGGTCTCCTATGTTCAACGATATGAACGATTGCAAACAAAAGATCCTATTACCAAGTCTATACACATATCTCATCTACGTCTTAGTTTTAAATCTTTGCAGCATCTCTCATTCTATTACATACAGCACAAAACTCTATATCCTACAATGACCCCTTTCCCTCTCCACAAAGTACTATACACTAACTCCCAAAAAGGAGCAAAGTTCCTAGTACCCCAGATGCACTGTCAGTGCTACGCCACGAACCAACAAAGACTATCCTCCTGTGACCCCCCTATAACCCACATCTTTCCAGCCCCACACGTGACGTTACAATGCCCGTTTTCTGAAACAAACTACACTAGTCTACATCCACCAAAGATCACCTCTACATACGCCTCCCTCCACATCTGCCGCAGAAAAAGGAAAACGAAAAAAAGCTAATGACTTGCATCTTCAACCCTGAACCAAACAACTTTGACAGCGGGCAGCACGCGGCAAGTTACTCGGAAAGCCTTGGCGTCGATGTGGGTGGGGTGGCGGTGGCGAAGGAAAAAAAAGGGTCAACAGGCCGAGGTGCGGCGACAACAAGCAAATACAACCCCTCCCCCTCCCATCCCTCGTGCCCGGGAGAAAGATAGACCAGGACGATCACAAAGGGGCTTTGTCCGTTTGCCACAGACGGGTGTGCCTGTCCATCACTTCAGGGACTTGCGGGCGGGAACAAGCAATATGATGCCATTGCTATTTTGCAAGACTCGTGAGGCTGAAGAAGGGGGGGGGATGTCAGGTACCCACGGGGCCTAGAATGGCAGAGAGGGGAGGGGGGGAAGTGATGTATAGGTATGACGTATGCACAACCCATGATCTTGATTTCCAACCCTCTTTTTTCCCTCTTCTTTCACCACGTCTACTTTCTATTCCTATATTGCATTCTAGCCTTATTGGCTAGAAAAGTTCAAGTTTTTTTCGATCTTGTCCTTTCTAATGTCGGTGAGGGATTAGCTTGGTTGAGGTGTAGTTGGTTGGTGCCCACCCGAACTACAACCCCTCCCTCTCTGCAACCACCCCACACGTGTCCAAGCAAATGCCCGCACCCGTTTCAACACCATGCATGCGCAAAACGCGCATAGTGTGCGTATCGGATACACACAACCAGACACCCAAGCTACCTTGCGGTGACGTGCTCATCCACGCCGGCGACTTGACAAATCAGGGGAGCTATAGCGAATTAAAAAAAGCTGTGGAATGGATAGAGAGGCAAGATTTTGAAGCAAAAATTGTGGTTGCCGGTAATTTACATTCCTGTCTGCATTGAAATGGTTGGTGGGGCTGATGAGTTTTTTTTCTCTTGTTCCTTCCTGAGCAGGTAATCACGAAATCACACTCGATGCGCCGTTCTTCAACAAAAACAAGGGCTCGTGGAAATGGCCTGGCGACCAAGACCCCACGGCGTGCAAAAAATTGTTGGTCGAGTCAAAGTCGATTACGTACCTTGAGCACACCACTACTACGGTCGAGCTTACCTCACCAAACGGACCGGGAACACGGTTCACGGTATTCGGTAGTCCGTATACACCCCAACAAGCGAATTGGGCCTTCCAGTACCGAGCAGAGGAAGCTGAAGACGTATGGAATAAGATTCCAGATGGGGTAGACATTGTCGTGACTCATACACCGCCAAAAGGACATTGCGATGGATCGGCAGAAGCTTCAAGAGACGGCAGAGAAGGGTGCCCAGCTTTGTTACGAAGATTGTCGAAGATCCGCCCCAAGTTGAGCATCTGCGGTCATATCCATCAAGGACGAGGCGTCGAGACAGTACGGTGGAGGACTCAGCCCTTGGACCAAGCCACACAGAGCGATAGTGGTAGCCTAGTGCAAAGCGTAGAATTCTGGAGCGATCCAGGGCAAACTAGCAACAAAATCTCCTTAGTTGACTTGACCATCAAGTCGATAGCAGGGCGCGACTTGGGCTGCGATACAGGGCTGCCACGTCAAAGCATCTCTGACTCGATGCAAGATGGTACTATGAGAAGCCAGGCTGATGCATCTCTTGCGCCGGATGTTACATGGCGTCAGCCCCCATCCGGTGATGGGAACCTTGTCCCGACGTCAAGCCTCACTGGCATTGCCCTTGAGAATAATGAGGCGTGGTGGAGAGGAGAGAACCATAGTAAACAATTGAGGAATGCAGGACATGCATGTCTCAACGATGGATGCAGGACGGGTCGGGCTTTTGGAGGTGCAGAGACGGCGCGTATTGAGACAACGACAGTGGTCAACGCAGCATACCTGGGCCCAAGGATTGCTGGAAAGCCTACTGGGCACCATAAGCCGATCGTAGTCGACGTTCAAGTGCCCGTATGGAAGTGTCCAGATGAGGAGTGAATGAGGTGGCTGATGTGGGATGACATGTGTAGTGCAGCGTACCTGTCGGACATGATATCATGCCTGGTGGCCAGCACCTGTTCTCTCGTGTGCACAAGACATGTTCGTCGCCAGTTGTGCTGCGCAATGGTGGAGGACCACGTAGAGGGACCTGCTTCGCCAGGAGCCCGTGGGTAGGATATGTCATTATTGGGCGTGACACGCAGAAGAGCCCCGCCTCACCCCGCATAGGCGTATCTTATCGTCCAACCACGCCAGGGCCTAACATGTGCCAATTCGGGACGGATCGAGTGGGAACAAATCTCACATGGGACAAAAAATCGTCAGCCTGGCGACGCAAGCGCCGTGCCCTGACCCGAGTTTTGACGGCCCACCGGGGGGCCCCTCGATGAGCCAGCTGCGGTGCGGAGGATGCGCAGTCATGCTGTGGTGCCCTAGGGCGACCAAGACCTGGTGACGGGTGGTTGAGAGTTCGGCATGAGCTTGTCTCAGAGGACTGGTCAGGCCGAAGACAGGTCTGGTTGGGTGTTGGGCGTGACGGGGAGCCGGCCGTGTGCCTTCGGTTGCAGTGTGCTCCATCTGTGACCAGGACGGCGGCGTGGATTCGCTGTGTGTTGCAAAGTGTCTTCAGCGGGGATGCTGACCGTTCTGGCTCGCTTGCTGGGCCTCGCAAGTCATGCCGGCTGAGGGGAATAATCCTATCAGATGGCATGGAGCCCCAAGTCTCAAACGACCATGTGGCCGCTGGTGGGCGTGATTGGACTGGATGTTTCCTAGGCGCCGTGACCGATGCGACGTGCAGCATGCTCATGTGAAGCGGCGGCGGCGGCTTGCGCGATGCGATGGCATGGCCCCACGGAAGGGCCTGGTCTAGGTGTAGGAGAAGGCGGACGGAAGCCGAAAGCACGCGGTGCCGTGACAGCCTTCAGCCCTGAGTACAGGACCACTACCACCCGCGCAAACTTGGGTAAGCCAGTCATGCTTGCGCGAGGCAATACACACCAGCCGCAGCATCGCCAGGGGGGTCTCCTAGAGCCGGCCTACTCAGCAATCCTGGCGCAGCGTTATAGTAAACCGCAACGCCCCAGCTGCTTGCGGGCTGGCTGACTGATTTGACCATACTGCTGTCCGTCTGTCCGCATCCTCCCTCGACTGCCCTGTTTTTTCTGTGACTCTCCCCTTCATCGCCATCATCACCCACGACGGCGTGCGATCGATGCCAACCATTGCCCGCCGCATTTTATTGGCATAGCAGCATATTGGCGTCGCTGAAACGGTGACGTCGCAGCATCCACACCGCAATTCCGCACCCGTAGAGCAGCGCTGCCGGGCAACCACGAGGCAGCTAATCGAAAGCATTGTTGCGCCGCAAGAGAGGAAAAAGTAAAAGAAAACAAGACAACACAGCCTCATTACTGGCGTCCCAAGCACAAACACTTTCTTTGTCAGGCTTGTTTAATCCGCCTTTTTTTCGCCATCACTACGACCTTCTGGGGTCTTCGATGCGAGCGTCTGTGTTCGCGGCTCGGTCCACTCTTCCTTAGGTCAGCGAAAGTAACCCGGCCCAGCCATCCTCGTCATCCCCCCTTGCCCAGACACGTTCGCCGTCCGCTGTCCGCTGTCCGTCTTCCGCTCTCACCACCCAAGCACCACGCACTCACGCACCACATACCCGACTCTCCTTAAAGCCCTTCGCCACCAAGCGCCTTCCGGGCCTCTCTCTCTCGCTATCTATCCCCTAAATTGTGGCGCTGCCTGTCTGCGTATACATACCAGCCACGCCGTCCATCCCATCCATCCCAGCTCCGCCACAGGCATTGGCTGCATTGACTTTTCCCCCGTGCCTGTGCCAGCCCAACAGTCGCCCTACCGCCTCGACGGGCTCTCTATAAAGTATACGCGAAGCCCCACCGCGCAATCGATTAGCACTACTTCCCCCTCCAACCCCCCCACCACCCCTTTCACATACACACAAACACCATGGACCTGGATCCCACGCCCGACCATTACAAGGCCCTCGGCCTCGACAAGAGTGCCACCGCCGCGATCATCAAGTCCACATACCGCAAACTGGTACTCAAGTGCCATCCCGACAAAGTCACAGATCCCGCATTGAAGGAGCAGAAGCAGGAGGAGTTTCACCGCATCCAGCAAGCCTACGAATGTCTCATCGACGACGAAAAGCGGGCTCACTACCACGCAGTCCTCGAGCTTGACAAGCTGCGCAAGGAAAAGGCCGCAAGACAAGCCGCTGCGCCACGCGACAGGACTGCACGCTTCGACGTCCCAACACCTGGTGGTTCGTCTTTTACTGCAAATGGCCCTACGCGATACGCCACCGAGTACCGCGCACCTCAATCGTCGCGTGACGATGCCAGCCGTTATCAAGAACGCGAGCGTGAGCGTGAACGCTCCCACCACCAAACTTACACATCCAAGCCGACTGCGCCACCCCGGTCCAGCCGCGAAAAAGAGTCTTCAAAAAGCAGCAGATATGCCAAGGAAGACCGCGGTCGATCAGAACGTGAAAAGGCACGTGCCAAGGAAGTCCGCAGCGACCGCAAATTCGCATCTGCCGAGAGTGAATCATCAGCCGACGAAAAGGCGCGCCACGAATCTGGATACAAGATTCGCACTGAAGAAGATGCTCGACGCAAGGCTGCTGAAGAGCGCCGATCTTACGAAGAGGCACGCCACACTACCCTGCCCACTCACCGCAAGATGAGCGTACAGGCCGAGGAGGCACTTCGGTATCAGCACAAGTCGCGTGCGCAGGTTGAAGAGGAGATAACGTCATCTCGTCCTATGCCTGCTAGAGCATCCTCGCGCGATTACTATGCCGCCGAACCCCGCTCTTCCCGCCGCGAGTCTTCTCGCGCAGAGGCTCCTGTGCGTAGGTCTTCTGCTAGGCCTAACAAGGATCGCCCTTCAATGTCGCGTCGCGAAACCGATCGAACTGATCGTGGCATTCCCGAGGTCGTGGATTGGGCTGAGGAGAGACGCACTGAAGAGAGGCGTCCTCCCATGTTCAAGCACTCGACATCGTCGCCCATTGAGCTTGGACGTGGAATTCCCCAGCGTTCTTACACTGAACGACTACCACGACGTACTGAAACTTCGCCCCCCCCTGCACCACCAGCTTTCCACCGCTCATCGACGATGCCCATCCACCCATCGTCCTCGCGCAGGAAGGAGCCAACTGCGCCTCGATCTTCTGGTCTACGCGAAGCCACTACTTCTGAGCAATATGCCAACCCCGAAAGAGATACCTTCTCCACCATCCCACCGGTACAGCAGACTACGCCCAGCAGCACTAAGAAGGTTTATTATTATCCGGTTAGTGGAGGTGGTGTCTCTGTCCGCCCGGATGAAATTCCAACCGCTGCTCGTCACGTGCCACGCGAACCATCACGCTACCAACGGTCGCCATCCCCATCGCCAATCGGCAAACCCCCGATTGGCGCCAACCGTCCGGTAGAGCCCACCACTTCCTACAAGACCGCGCCGCGCCCATCCATGCCGAGCCGCAACGAGTCGTACCGTACAGTATCGCCCGTTCGTGGCTCCGAAGATCGCGGACGTTCTGGAAGACCTAAGCTCTACGGAGAAATTGGACGCCAGCCTAGCTTCGACCCCAACGATGTGCAGTTCAGTCGCCGATATGGCCCAGAAGATGTCAGATGGGCTCCCAGATCCGGCGAGCCTGACAAAGGATACTCTACTAAGCCTTCTTTGGGCAGGACTGCAACATATGTCTACTAGGCATTGTCAATGAGTGAGAAATAACTTTACCTCATTAACATATACATGGGCAACTCATTTGCCCCAGGATACCCCCACAAAACCCGGGTATAACATTTACCGGGTTCTTTGCATTTATTGGTTTTTGTTTTTACTGGCGTTTAAGGTTGGGTCGAGTTGCTTTCTAAAGCAACTCCACAGTGTGTGTGTGTACTTTCTTTTTTTGTTGACGACACCACGCAAGTGCTGCGTTGGGTCCCAGTCTCTCTCCAACCTCCACCCCCGCCTCCCTTACCCCAAGGTGTATATTCTTGTGCTTCGTTTATCTTTTTTGCTTTTTTCGATCACTGTCTTATTTCCCCACCTTCGCTCAAATACTTTTTATTTTCTTCTTCTTCAACCGATTGTCGGTTGCTCGATGTGGCCCAAGAAAAGTCAACCAGCTTGACTTTTCTTTTTTTTTTCTTCATAGACGCGAGTTTTCTCTTTCTCACACTCGCTTTTTCTTCCAATACTGGGTAAGGGAGAGCGCGGGACATAGCATTATGTCCACACTCTCGCTTTTTACAAGAGGCTCATGTACGTGCACGAGTCCAACGAAAAATCACCTGTCGTTTCTGCACGTTTTTGTGTCTTCCTTTTTTTCGAGGGCATTTACAAACCTACTACTATATAAACTATTATTACGGCCGAATCCTCTTCTTCCTTCTTTCATTACCATCTTTTTTTTTACACCTTGTAGTCTCGCGACGATGCAAAGGAGGAAACCAACGTATGTAGTTTTTGCCAGAATAGAATTGCCATCACGCTTTTTTCCGAACCATGTGCCATGTTCTTGGCTTCAAAGTGATTACAAGAAACGAAAAAAAAACAATTGCTGACCTCACGTGTCGTTGTCTGCAGATTGATGACGTTCAAATTATGCATCAGCAAACTAATCTCCTCCGCTGACTAAAAAGGATTCCAAACTAGATATGCTGAGGTTATCCGTGCCAAGGCTTAGCTTATTAAGCTAAGTCAGCTGCGCTGACACTCGCCGCAGGCGAGTGCCGACGCTCCCAACGATATTACCGTCCCAACGATATTTTTTCGTACAACCCAGATATATTATTGAATAACTA